AACTGCCAATTTAGATTTCAAAACAAAACTGTATCAGGAATCAAAAGTAAATACTTCCATCGTGAATTACCGGAAAATTGCTCTAGTTTTGGCAGACGTATTTGCTTTTGTTATTTTAAATAAAATGAGGAAGAGAAGGTGAACTTTGTGGAGTAGGAAATGGTTGCTCAGGGGGAACACCGGCAAGGATCTGGCTCATCTTGTCCATCAAGAGTTGCGATATGAAGATGAAAATGGATTTCAAAACTTCGCCAGGATGTCGATACCAACTTTAGACAAGCTAGTGGGAAAAGTTCTCACTAGATATACAAGATTCCTTGAGTTCTGAAAATTTCTGTTAACAACTCAATTCTGCAAGGTCTTCAAACCTTCTGAAGTTCCTGAAGTTTTGTTTCTGAGCTCCGGTAAAATTTCTTTAATGATCAACAATCTTTCCTAACAATCTGCTAATTTCTCGGTAGTTCTACAGATTTCTTTAAAGTTCTGTGTGTTCTTCAAAAGTTCTGCAAATTTTCCTAAAAATCTACAAAGTTCCTGAATCCCTGAAGATTTAAGATCCTTGAAGATCAACAATTATCTCTGATGTTCACAAAATTTCTAATAATCTACAAACTTCTTGACAGTTCTGTAATTTTCTCTGCAGAATTTCATGATTCAATTAATATCTGCAAATATCTCTGAACATCTAGGGGAATTTACGTATTCTCGGCAACCTAAGCAGTGACCTTCTTTCTATAGCCTTTTTCTCTATGGAACGCACACATATGCAGTATTGGTTTGTTTACAATCTTTTGCTGCCAGCTGCTCTAACAATTTCAGTCGAAAGAATTGTCAAAAACTGTTTTGAAACGCTTTTACAAAGCTCCAATCTTCTCTAGTGAGAGCGAGTATTGTCAGCAACCAGTTTTTCTTCGGCAACCGTTCCATTTGAACTGCATGTAAATCTGCTGTTCTATTATCGGCAACTCGAAATCAGCTACAATTTGTAGAGCGTGTGTTTCATTTCAAGAAAACCCTGCTAGATTGCTTTTACTCAGTGGTAAAAATATAGTCAAATTGAAGCTGAAAGCATAAAGAATCGTTTGCATGCATTCAGCGAAGTGTTTTCGTAAGAAAATCCAGTGAAAATAGTGTTTCAATTTGGGTTGCCGAAAATAGTCTGTCATGCCGAAGCCGTCATTTCCCCTATATAATTTTCTAAAGAATTAAAAGAAATTTTTGAAGTTTTAGGAAGTATTCTGAAGTTTTTCTAATTTTTCTGAAGCTGTGCAAATATCTCTAAAGATCAGCGAACTTACCTGAAGTTCTGTAAATGTCTTTCAAAATCCAAGAACCGCAGAAAAATTCTGAAAATTTATTTAAACTCTGCTAATTTTTCAGTAGATTTACGATCTATCCTCTGAACTTTTCTGAAGATCCTAAAATTTATTTCAAATTCTGTAAAGTTTTCTGAAGTACTGTATTTTTGCTCTGAAGATCTACGAACTGCCCTGAAGTTCAATAAATTTCACAATAGATCTCCGAACTTTTCTAAAGGTCTTTAAATTTCTTTGTGGATTCTTGATCTAAAGATCGGCGAACTTTCCCGAAGATCTGTGAGTTTTGCTGAAGTTTTGCAATTTTTTCTAAAAACGTACGAACTTTCTGACGTTCTACAGACTTCTCTTAAGGTCTACGGACTTATTTTAAGGTCTACGGACTTCTCTGAAGTTCTTTAGATCTACACAGCTAAAAAAAAGTAGTGTAAATTTCCGTTACTATGATGCACATAAATGGAGCGTCATATATCATACAAGTTTAGATTATAGATCGTGTAAATTTATGAGACATGTCATGTAATATCCCACATAATATTGCATGCAACTGTCCACTTTTGTTTGCAACATTTCTTGCAAGTTGCTAGTTTACGTGAAAAGGAAGTTTACATGTATGAATGTTTGCATGCATGGATGTTTACATCGCCAGTAAAATTCAGAATTTTTTGGTGTGTATCTATTTCCGACTTCCATGGAGTTCTGCAAAATATTGTACTTTTGTACTTCGCTGCGATTTGTTTTTGGAATTGAGGTGCTTTTCTGACATTTAACGAATTTTTCTAAAGATCTCACATTTGTGTGAAAATGTGAAACTCTCTGTCAAATTCCTGCAAATATCTTTAAAGTTCTGTAAAGTTGTCTTAAGCTCCGTAGCTCTATTCCCAAGATCTACAAATAAAAACTTGAAGCTGAATAAATTTCTCAGTAGATCTGAAAACTTCTCTGATGTTTTGTAAATTCCTCTCGGGTTACCCTGAAGATTTGAAAATTTCGTTGAAGATTACCTCAAGTTGTCAAAATTTATCTGAAAATATTTGAGCTTCTTTGAAGTTCAAGATCTAAAAATTTTCCTGAAATCATGTAAATATTTTTTTTTAACCGCCGAACTTCCCTGAAGTTCTGCAATTTTTACTGAAGAGCCATTAACATTTCTGAGATTCTTGTGATTTTTTTCAGAAATCCTGTGATTTTTTTCAAAGTTTTGTAACTTTGTTCTGAATATCTACGAACTTTTCTGATGTTGAATAATGTTTCGAGGATCTCCAAACTTCTGTGAAATACTTTATATTTCACTGTAGATTCTTTGACTTGCCTGTAGTTATGCAAATTTCCCTGAAGATTTGCAAAATTTCGCTTATAGTTTTACAAGTTGATTTGAAATTATTTTTGCTTACTTGAAGTTTTGAAAATTTCTTTGAACATTTATCTGAAGGTCTACGACCTTTCTTGTGATGTTGTTTTTATGAATTTCTTTTAATTACTTTTAATTTGTTTGTAGTTCTGTTCTCAATATCTACGAACTACCCTGAAGCTCAACAAATTTACAGTAGATCTCCGACCCTCTCTGAAGCTCAAAAAAAAATCTATGTAGGTTCTCAGACCTGCTGTCTGGCATGCTTATTCTTATACAATACATGCTTCGTATGCTTCCTTTTGCCAGTCTCTCTTTTTCGACTGTTTCCTTTTTACGACGATTTTGATCCTCCACATACAAATCAGCGAAGAGCGAGCGTGACAAGACTCTCTGAATGAACTTGTCTTGTTCGCACACGTTGTCTTAGATGTCAGATGCTTGTCAAATCCAGTGTGCTTAAGAAACGTTTCGAGAAACTGAACGAAAAACTTCTATTGAATTACGAATGAAGTGATAATTGGGAAATTCCCTGAGTGGAGCCAAAATTCCCTGAATATTCCAGGTTTTTCCAGAAAAAATAAAATTCCCTGTAAATTCCCGGTTTTCCAGGTTTTACAGGTAATAGACATCCTGATTAAGTGACTCATAGAGTTGAATTTATACTTTCAGCTTTAACAAATACTTTCAGTAATTTTACTTTTATTCCCACAAATAACCTCCGAAAATTTACATTTGGCCAAGTTTTTAAAAATGCGCACATTTTCGTTTTTTTTTTCATATTAACAACCAGGAAATTTTTAAGATTTGAACCGGGAAAACCGGGAAAAAACCGGCAATTTCAAAATGAAAATTCATTGGCCACCCTGAACCTTGCAGCTGAGAGCCAACGGCAGACTCAGAAGTATTACCACGGCAATCAAGCAAGTTGAAACGAGCCCAGACTAACTCATTAACGCCCAGTGATCTATTTATAGATCAGCGTTTTTTTTTTCATTGTATCATGCCTTAACAGAAATTGGGAACATAAATTATGTTTTCAATATCATTAGAATGCTTCTTAACATCTTTTTTTTAACTTTTTATTTGTTCCAAATACAAAATAAATTACATTTCATTTTAACCTAGGTGCTCCAGTTACTACAGTAGCTTACCAGCCTTAATTGTTATGATATATATCTAAGTGTTTTTACATTGTTCCTGCCTTGGCAATTCAGTATTTTAAATAGTTTTTTCAAACCTGCATGTCAGTATAACAATTGAAATCTTAAAACTAAAAACTAAAACTAAATCTTATCTAGGTATAAAGGGAATTAGTCTTTGCAATTGAGGATTGCAACGATTTTTGCCTGAAATTATTAATTATTCTGTTGGACATTTGTTCTAAAGTCTCAACATTCGAAATTCTATGTACTTCGGCAGTACTGTACCAGGGAGGCAACTTCAAAATCATCTTCAGAAATTTGTTCTGAATCCTTTGAAGTGCTTTTTCCAGGTAGTGCAACAACTAGACCATATTGGCATAATGTAAAGCGTGGCCGGTCTAAAGACTTGTTTAAATATTAGAAGTTTATTCGTCAGGCAAAGTTTGGATTTCCTCCTTATAAGAGGCTACAAACATTCAATATATTTGTTACATTTGGCTTGAATGTCCTCAATGTGACCTTTAAAAGTTAATTTTTGGTAAAGTATTAATCCAAGATATTTCACTTGGTTTGATCAGGAAATTGGAACTCCGCTCATAGTGACTATGTGACATCCTTAACATCTTGTTTTCAAGTAGTTTGAGAATAATCCTTGGGTTACTACTGGAAAAACCGTGTATTGTCCGGACTTCAAAAACGGCTTGGGCGTTTACGGGTTAAGCTAAAACCTAGTAGCCGCCCAGGATGGGAATATTTCATGTTGGCCCTATACCTCACTGGAGGTGCTCAGAGTACATGATGTAATGAGATCTATCCAGTGTTTTCACTGGAAATTTCTCCATCGCCTTATCCAAGATAACCCATTGAGTTGTACAGCCCTTCATCGTAATACATTGTTGTTTGTATTGTACTACCTAGAACAATATGTACCATGAGGTATTGAAGCTCATATAGGCACGGTGGTATCGAGAATCCAAAAGTCACATTCCATCACAAAATCGATACCGGCTGTCTACTATCCGCAAAGGGAGGTTGACGCAACTTCTCCCCTACTTCAACTGTCTGCCCTATCCGGTGTTGGCACTGTGCCCTGAATAGGAACACACATATAGACTAAAGCCATTATCTGCCTTCTGTAGTGTCCTGTGCAATAAATATCCGCTTTTGCTTTCTTCTTCCCTATCCTAGATACGTTGGCTCCGGTGCAGACTTTGTCGTCCCGGGAGGCTGTCGCACGATAGACGCTACCGGAAAGATGGTTATCCCCGGTGGTATCGATCCACATACACACTTCCAGTTGGAATTCGGGGGCACCGTGGCGGTGGACGATTTCTACCAGGGCACCAAGGCGGCCGTCGCCGGTGGAACCACCACAGTCAGTAAGTGTTTGCCAAAGCATATGAATGTGATGAATTTTTTGCACTTATGCCCCCTTCCTTTTCTCAACTATCAAATTTCAGTTGATTTCGTCATTCCGCAAAAAGGCGAATCACTCCTGGAAGCGTACGACACATGGCGGGCACGTGCCGATCCGATGGTGGTGTGCGACTACGGCCTTCACGTGGCCATCACCTGGTGGTCCAAGTCGGTTCGCGATGAGATGAAGATCCTCTGCCAGGAACGAGGCGTTAACTCGTTCAAATGTTTCATGGCGTACAAGGGTCTGTTCCAGGTTACCGATAGCGAGCTGTACGAGATCTTCGAGACGTGCAAAGAGCTGGGAGCGGTGGCTCAAGTGCACGCCGAAAATGGGGATGTTATTGCCAAGAACGTGCAGAAGCTGCTAGCGGCGGGCGTTACGGGACCGGAGGGCCACGAACTGTCCCGCACGGAGGAGGTGGAAGCCGAAGCGGTCAACAGGGCTTGCGTGATTGCTCATCAGGTGAGTGCTAGTTTCATCTCTTTTGCTGGTGGCTGTGGTGGAATGGAAAACAAAAATACATATTGCATGCTCCTACTCAACATGATTGCACCTTTTACGCTATTTAGTAATCTCTACTTTACTCAGACGAAATGGCACTGCGGCACAGTTCAGGCTTGCTTACGTGATGTTATTATTACACCTATTTTACGGCGACATGAACTCCACAGATTAGATTACACTTTGTATTGTGTTGTAAACATATGTACTTGAAAAAGGTGATGGTGCAGGTTTAGTTTGTTTCGCAAATTGAGGTCATATAAAAATTCCCCAATGTAGGATGTAACATGAACAATAGTATCATAGACAAACAGACATAGCACTGATAATTTCTTCATCGAACACGTATTTAACGGTCAATTTAAATGTTTCTTAGTTGGCAGTAAAGCCATTTAAGTCAATTGTCTTGCACGGACAAACAAAGGTGCTCACAAACTGAGACTGACTCTATTTTATTTGCATTAAAATTTTACTCGCTTTTGTAGAAAGTGGATTTAATCATAGCTGAGTGAATGTACTTTTTAAGAAAATAAATAAAATTTGTACGCGAAAAAAAGAGTGTTGTGCCCAACGCTTTACGGTGTAATAATGTTGGTATCAGGTTGCCGAACCCTGTTAGTTGACAGATGCGAGTAGCGCTTCCACCAACACAAGCGCGCACTATAGTATATAGGAGTAGAAAAATCGAGTTGGATCATAGCACAACCTTTTTAGAGTAGTTAGTCGCAGTTTTGATCGTCACGTTGCATGAAATGTTTCTGTTAGTGGAAGAAATCAAAAATTCGGTAGGTTTTTGAAACGTGCGTGGAATCGGAAAGCCATTAAAACACAACATTAAAACACAACGCTACAGAACAAAGAGTTTTAGCCATTTTGACTCAGTTTGTGAATTACTTCGATTATCCATGTGCGGTTGACGTTGACATACTTTCGCCATCTGTTGAGCGTACTGCCCATCACAGTGGTGTCAATAGATTGTGGTAGTGTTTTAGCTACGATGTTTAATAGTGAGAAATATTCCATGTATTATGTATGCTTGTCTGTGATAAGTCTCTTCTAGTTTATGGCTTTGACGCTAATACACGAGCTTTTTCCTATATCTTAACTTATTGTTCTTTGAAGCCCTGCAACAGTTATTAATTGGGAGCTTTCTATGCAAACCAATGCACGAATTTGTTTATTGTGTGTAAGGTTGTCAGTACTAGACTCTTTTTGCGAGTACCGATATTACCGGTACTAAAGCACTTAAGAAAATAGATTTATATTGGTAGAAATAATAACAAAAAAATACAATTTATCTATTCAAACTAGTTTCGAGAAGAGATTCTGATTAAAAGACACAAATAAAACTCAAAAGATTCAACCAAATAGACTTTCTATACTGACTGAACTGGGCATCGAACCGGCCGCCTCCGGCTTGGTAATGCCACAGACACAACAATACCGTACCTTACCTGAAACAGGTCAAAAACCGTCCAAATCCGCCCAAAAAAAAATTGTTTTGAATTTCTGTATGGCAAATTAGTGAACTTTTCGTGAACATTAACGGCAAAGAACTCCCCAACACTAGGAGACCGTGAGTTCCTGCCCACCTGTCATTTCCCATCTCGATCTCAGACCCTGTTTGTTTGATTATTTGTTTAACGACCCTTCAACTTGGGATGTCATTCAGGCCTTTTCTCAGACACTGTCCGGATCATTATCCACACAGGACTACTATGAAGGTCTCCTCAAAACTACTCTGAAGTTCGCCACAGAACTACTCTGCAACTTTCCATCGAACTACTCTGAAGTTCACCTCAGAACTACATTTTCCTGAAATTTACACCCAACCGAGGGATGTGAGATTCATCATCAGAGGATGTTAGTGGAGACCGCATGAACCGAGGATGCGATATACCTAGCTGCGGTTCAATGCAAGAAAATTGGAGACCGAAAAATGTAGAGTGTATTAGTGCGGTAAATTAGTTATGTCGAAAAAAAAACAGGAAACAGGACCGCCGACTGTACGAGAACGTTGCGATTATCAGACCTGTGCTTTCTCTACTGCTCTCTCCATGCTTCTGAATATGGATAGTAGACTGATGCAAAATTTGAAATTTTCGCTCCACAGTGTTCAAACGGTTTCAAATCGGGTCCTGATTAGCCTCCGAAAGTTTAAACTCATTTGATAAGAAACTGACTTGGCACAAAGCATTTGAAGTTTATATGGAAATTACTATGGGAAAACAAAACTTTTTGTTCATTGTCTTCTAGCCTTTTAACATATTGTACTGTTAACAAATTCTATTACTATTCTTATGGGAATTTTTATCAGCTAGAACTTTGCAGAAAATCGTTTTTCAGTCAAACGTCAAATTAAATAGTTATTAATTGTTTAAGAGATTGATAATCTTATGACAAGATTAAGCAACTGTATTGTAGGCAACACTGTATTCTGCAGTGTGACATAGTAGCCATGATTGTTGTCCTCTACACGCTAACTTGAAAGTACCCATTAATGGTTCAAAAAGACCCATTTTGAAGAAAAGTGGCTTAACTCATTAAATGAGTAAATTTTTTACCCATTAATGAGTATCTGTTACCCATTAATGAGTAATTGCTAATCATTAATGGGTAACAGATACTCATTAATGGGTAAAATTGTTTAATCATTAATGAGTTAAGCCACTTTTCTTCAAAATGGGTCTTTTTTTACTCATTAATGAGTACTTTCAAGTTAGCGTGTATTCTACGCGCCATAAACACCAATGTTGCCTGCTGAACAGTTGATTGAGCATAATCATAAGACATCAGTGACTTGAATCATTAATAACTTTTGTTCCTTACATTTGATCGAAAAGTGGTCTTCAACAAAGTTATAGCTGAGAAAAGCTCAGCTACCATTGGTGAATTTTGAGAGCTCAGAGTGACCTGGTGAATTTTAAGATAGATATGAACCGAAATTATGGTTTCTCCATAGTAATTCCCATATAAACTTCAAATGGTTTGTGCCAAGGCAGTTTCTCACTAAATGAGTTCAAATTTTGGGAGGCCCTCAGGGCCCAATTTGGAACAGTTTGAGCACTGTGGAGCGAAAATTTCAAATTTTGCATCGGTCTAATGGATAGCCTAAAAGCAAACATGAAGCGCTTATTTTCTCGCATACTCGACTTCGTATGCTTTTTCTCCTGGAGAGATTCGAGGCAAGTGTGTGCGTCGTTCTACAAGCTTACTGGTATAGTCGAAAGCGTAGATAGAACACGAAACAAAAAAGACAAAAACTACAAGGGACAGCCCTATGGGGTCGTACGTAATGGAGACGTAGTCTTCTATATTAAATGTTATTTGTTAACTGCAGCAGGAGATTGGGTTTTGTGAAGGAATAGGAATTTGAGCGGGGTTCTCTCTGTTTATAATCTTTAGTATGACGCGCTTGGCAAAGATGGCCCACAGCAACTCACGAAGAGCTACTGATTCCGATCAATAGCGGTGCGGCTTCTTCCTCCTTCTATGGATGCTCATGTGGGCTGAAGCTCGCTGCTTGCAGGCAGCCTTTCGTTGTGTACTGGAGAACACCACGCGGTAATTGAATAAACAACGTTTGGTGAGACCGGATGGAATTCAACTTTGATATCTGTGTTAGGGAAATCGCTTTTCGCAGGCAATCGGTGATAATTTTGATTATCATAACAACAGGAGCACATTCGTGCAATTTTCAATGGTGACATTTTGAAAAATGATAAAGTTTTAAATTTGTAGAAATATTTCTAATCGATTGGCGATAAAATTATTGAAATTGATCCAGGGGCAGCTGAGTTATTAACGTTCAAAATCTTTCATAATTTTGTTACATGTTCCATTTTCGGTTTTCACAATGTGTACCCCCATATAGAAATCACATACGTAGTCCTACGTCAAAAACCATTACATCGCTTGCATGGTCAATTTTTCAATTTCATGGTCTCAAATGTTCATGAACAGAGGATGATAGGAAACGGAACTTCATTGTAATAGATTTTTGGTTTGCGTGTACGAAGTTGTCTAAATATTCTCATGAAGATGTTTATGCTTTCCCAATAGTCAGGACTTCCCTAAAGATATCTTTACTCCCCAGAAGTTCATTGATCTTCTCAATAAATTAGTGTTCTCTGGACTTCCCTAAAATTAACGGAACTTTCCTTTAGTTTCCGCAGTTTTCCTGATATTCATGGGGGATTATGGTACTTCTTCAAAGTTTTTTTTGAAGGTAATGCAAATTCAGAGACGATCACTGAACTTCGGAGAATTTCAAGCTCGTGTTAAAGCCCCTTGAATATTTTACATCGATTCAGATTTCTTAATTACGTAATTCAAAAGACCCTTCTACTGATCAACTATTCAACGAGATAATCCTTCACATATTTCTTCACTGTGTCAGCTGAATCAGAGATTATAAAATCATTTTCACTGGGTCGTTGTGCGGCATTCTTACGACGTGCCCAGCCCACCGTAGTCGCCCAATTTTTACAATGTGGAAGATGGATGGTTCTCCCAGACCACCGGTCTAATCAGCGTCTTGTAGATAATCAACTACGTGCGGTGGCGTATTTTATTCCACCGGAGCGTTCTCCGGAGTCCAAAGTAGGCACGATTCCCTGCCATAATGTGTCTTTGAATTTCTCTGCTGGTATCATTTTTGGCGGTCACCAGTGAGCCCAAATACACGAACTCATCGACCACCTCAATCTGAACTCGGGTTGGAGGCTAACATTGCCTTCCCTAGAACCTCTTCCTCTCATGTATTTCGTCTTCGATGCGTTGACGGCTAGTCCAATCTGCCTTCAGTCTGATGTACGTTTCCGCAATCGTCTCAAAGTTCCGTGCCATGATGTCGATGTCATCGGCGAAGCCAAGAAGCTGGATGGACTTCCTGAAGATCGTGCCACTCGTGTCTATCCCAGCTCTTCTGATCACACCTTCTAACGCGATGTTGAATAGCA